AGAGTTAAGAAGTTGAATACGAGGGTTCGCATTTATTTATTTTGAACTACGCTACACCACCAACAACAAAACAATACTACCAGTAATAAGACAGAACTACTGTAATAAAAAAGTGAACACGTAGATTTTAATTTATTTATTTTGGACTACACAATGCTACCAGCAACTAGAACTAATATAAACCTTGTAACCAAAGACAATTCTCGCCTATTTTATGATTCACAAAAGTGGAAATATAGACATCATACTTAGCTACTGAAATAAGGGAATGAACCATTTCGCGTCGCTCGACAACCCAGGAAGAAGACACTGAGTTTAACTTCGTAAAGTACTTGCAAATAAATATTTATCGTTAGAAATCGATAATAACACATCTATAATCTGAAGTAATTATGACCTCAATAATCACGTGTTTTTGCAATAGCAAAATGTATTGTTTAAGGCTATTTATGTTTGAACCGGCATGTGAAATATGGTTTCAAATAAAACAATATTTTTAATGTTATATTGCGTTACATATGAGTTATCCAAACTCAGGTGGTCTATAAACATAAAAAGAAAAATAACTGGAATATTTTAATACGATTTTATAGAAATATAAACAAAGGTTGACGATTGTAATTTAATTCAATTTAATGTTTGGTGGTCATCACCTGCACATGCGTCAGATGGCCATAGCGTGTCGTTGTTTACAACAAGCGTCTACCCATAAGCCATCGCGTTTTGGCATGCGTTGGGACTCAATTCCCGCGCGTGCGCAGGTGACGGCTCTCCTGCTTTACCAACATATAAGAAGAGTTTTCAGTTACAACTTTTCAAAGTTGTAACTGAATATGGCGGGATATGTCACAGCCATTAATAAACACACAACACTATTATATGCAAATCTTCAAGAACTTAAAGTTTATAGTTCAAAAAATATAAACTATTTATTTTTTTATTTTTCTTGCAGTGGTTTCCTCAGAATTTCTGACTACATATACCCCGACAACTACGTTAGCAGCAACCACAAGTGTCTATAGTACATTTGATCCAGGTAAGTGTTATTGACATTGATGACGTCATAATTAGTGTAAGCAGTAACATCATTTCAAAGAAAAGATTGCTTTTCAGTAATGTTGCTAGTTAATCGCGTATTTGCATAATTATGATAACGTAATTATGCGTTACGTCATAGTCCGGTCACAGATGAAAATGCACAGAATTATTCATTTTGCAATAAACTGTGCTCCCGTATCCTAATATTCGAGAAAATGATGCTTTCAATTTAGTAGATAGTAACCATTATAATGCTTTTACTGTAGATTTCAATGACAGAGATATTGAATTGATATAAAAATAGATTCTAAAATGTGTCGTAATTAGAATCGCGTTCTATGTAATATATGTGAATTTAATGATTTTAGGAAAATCTTATGACAAGTATGTCAGTGACTGCAAAAGACATGATGCCATGTGTTAAACTTCAATAATCATTTACTAATATGCTGTATTATATATAATGTATAATTATCCCAGTGATTTAAGGATTTAAACCTGTTCGTAACTTATAATTATATTTTCACTATCGAACATAAATTTTAGTCTTCCGTATCGAAAATATGAGTTATTTTGAATAATTACAGAAATTAAATACACGCTTGTATATGTCCAACTGCATGATGACAGAAGTTAAAAGAAGAAAGTGTAAACACACATTTATATACAACGACGTACTTTTTTTCAGATCGTCCCTTTATTAATATTGGATGCACTCGATACCAGATATATCTTGGGAAACTATCGTGGGACGAAGCTAAGACATCCTGTGAAAATAATGGAGGCGCACTTGCTTCGTTGCACACAGAAAATATCAACGAAAAGGTCATAGAATTCATCGAAAATAGTAATTTGGACGATGGATACACTGATTATTGGATTGGCTTGAATGATGTTTCCAATGAAGGGAGTTTTGTATGGGTAAACGGAGAGCCATTTGTTTACACGTATTGGTCGTTGGGGAATCCGGACAATACAAATAATCAAGACTGTGTACAGTTATGGTGAGTAAAAAATATATTACATGAAACATCTATGCATATAACATGCCACGTGGTCCACATCGCAGTTTGCTAAGAACAAACTCCTTCGTAACAATGATAGAAAAGAGTTATCAATTGACCATTAGAGTGCAAGCGTGACTTAGCTCTTTATATATTGCTTGCTGGCTGTATATCAGTATATCTACACGTACATTTTTAGGTAAACATGTATTGTAGTTTGTTTGTCTATGAAGTTTGTTTGTAAATTTGTTATTGAGCAAAGATCGTGGATGTGATGCTGTTTCCAGTCAATTATGTTCGACTTAATTTGCGTCAACACGGGAAAACTCATCCTGCCCGGACACGACGAGGATTGACAGATTGAGAGCTAAACAAATAATTGATTAAATGAATTTATCTTGGAATGTTTAAAAAATACTATGCCTTGAGTATGTACTAAAACTATCAGTTTATTTAAATATGTTAGGCATACGTATGGCTATAGATGGGATGATGACATTTGTTACTATGTGAAAAGATACATATGTCAAAGGTATGTATAACATATTATTTATATTAACGCATAAATATATGTCTTCACTAAGCACGTTACTGTACATATATATAGTACATTCTGGGATAGAACTTTTATTGTTTATTATGAAAAAATAATAATATTTTAAAAAAGATACTAAATTATGTTTCTACTTTTTAAATCAATATTGACTATCGACTATTTTACAGGACATTTTGTATTGTATCTCGAGAAATAACTGGTGACTGCAATCAACAAGTTCTGTTTTTACTGAATTTACCAACTGTTTCGCGCTTGCTTTATTGACTTATTAATTGGTATTATATATTGAGATAAAACTTGCGACAAGCACAAAATGAAACACGTTTTGAAGAAACTATAATTGAAATACTAATCTTTTGCGAAAATGCGATTTTTTATCTTTAATCATCGCGTTCTTTCTTTACAGTGCCATATGTTGACAATGTAGTCTATGCTGATTGGATGAAGGCCCGCTCACTTAAAAAGGAAAGTTAAGCCATATGATCTGAGTTTAATTAATACATAACGTGTGTGTAAAAAGATGCATTACATGCACAATTATTAATTCTTGAGAGAATGTCTCACAATTTATATGTTTGTAAATATATAGTTAGTTAGGCTCATTATACCCAAAACGTGATCGCAGTAAACATGTACATATATGAACGTTCCGTTCATTCATTGTAATTGTCTAAAAAGGCTGTTTTATTTCTTAGTTCATTTTCATACAACAATTGTGAAATGTCTGTTTAAAGTTTTGTCAATCATTGATAGCCAACTACCATTTTCGTTTTTGTTTTATGTGAGGTATTTACAGTTGTACTGTATACATATGTCTTCTCATTTATCTGCACTCATTGAGGGAGACGATACCTTTTGCTTACACATTCATACAAGTTATTCTATTTTAGTATAACTGTCAATTGACTGAATTGTTCTTAATGTTATGCACACATAATTAATTGTATTATAGACTATGTCAATCTTACATTACCCTATGATATTTGCCATAGTCAAGCACGTAACCGAGGCGCTAATTTTTCATCTGTATAGTTGAAATATAAAAACTAAAAATATAAAAAGTAATAAGTAATATTATAGGATGCAAATATCACAATCGGATATAGAAAACTAATTTTAAATTCAAGTAGTTTTTATTTTATTAATTGTATACTATAAGTGGAAGACTTCTCGAATATTGTTATTGCCAATGACGGACGTAAGAATCTGTTTTCCTTTCACTGGTTGAGCATTGTAACAAAATATACTTGTCAACTGTTTGTTAGGCGAGGTACATAGCTGCCTAGTGTATTATAGATGAATAGTGTGAACTCTATCGCAACTGGTCGCATTCTCCAATGTATAGTAAATTTAAATAAAATATTAATTTAGGAATGGTTTATTTATAATAATCGATAAAATGGTATTGCTATTTTTTATATATTAAAGCGCGGTGGTCGTCGCGCTGCGCATGTGCCACATTTGTGTTGATAAACATTTGATTTTCCCACAATTCAATGCGCTTTTCAAATGGAAATCACATGTATGAGGTTTGATCTGGGCGCGACTTGCACTGATTACCGCCGGTGACTCCTTTAATACCTTCCAATCACCTCAAAATTACCTAATTAAAACTTGTAAATGTCTCAGTTTGTACTCTTTGATTTGCGCAACAGTCAAAGTCGCCATCTTAGTTTATATGAGACCCATATATCTCATGCATGCATGGCACGACGACTGTCGCCCTTTTACAATTTGTTTTTGTTTTTTCGCAATAAAGAAAAAGAAACAGAGCAGACAAAGACAAAACCTTGACTGGTATACGGTTGTGAAACAAAATAAAAAAGAAAATTACTTTACTTGTATTTAGCCAACCTATCATTTAAGATCTCCCATTTACGATAGTGATATTGTTCCATTCCTTTATATAGGACTATTTCAAACTCTATGTTTCTGTTTTCACGGACTAGTGATTTAAATGCATTTACAGAAGGGTCTGTAGCATATCCTCTACAGTTATGAATATACTTTTTGAGCATTAAAATAGAGTGGTTTAAAATCAGTTTTTCCTCAGTTAAAAAAAAACTAAAATTATATTTACTTTATTATACACTATTTGTTGAATATTACTACACTCTGCCTGCAATGCATTCCAAAATCTATGAACATGGTGAACGTCAATTAAAATATGTTCAATTATTTCATTATACAATTGGCAGAGTGAACACAAAGGAGAATTTACAAGGCTCCATTCAAATAATTTTGCATTAACAGGTAAGTATCTATGTAGAATTTGGAACTTAAAAGCTCTCATGGATGCAGCTTTAGTTGTCCGAAAAAGAAGTGTAAATATCACATTACTCATTGTCGCATACGACTTGTTTACCACTTCCGTGTGATTGAGAATGTTCTAGAACCGTACTGTGTCTGGGTGGAATTTTTAGAAACTGATGAATAGGTAATAGAACACTGTAGGAGGCAATAGAAATTTGTATCAGGTTGCCATGACAACATCAATTATATGAATAATCTATTTAGTAAATAACTTATTATGTGACATAACAGGTAGCATATCAATGACGGGGTTGATATTATGTATTAATAAAAAACAAAACTATTGTGTTCCGGGCCACAATGACTCGCTACAAACTTTGAAGCAGCTTGGCCGAATATTTTAAAGTATATTTTTCACAAGGTGGGTTTATTTTAGTCAGTATAAGTGATCTGAGTGGTCAGTACTAAAATATGGTATAAAATAGAGCTTGGCTGGTTGGTTGGTTGGTTGGTGGAGGAATTATGTTGACCTTGCTGTGGACGTTTATACATCGATAATGAATACAAATTTTGCTATATATTGCATTATATTTGGAGCAACATCGATATTAACCGTATATTCATGTTGGTACTCATTGCATTACTCTGACCTTACACTTTAACAATCATCCACATGGTGTTGGCCAGTTTATTATTAAAATTCACCACTTATGGTATCTTGGTCATTGGCAGGATATGCGTTAGGAGAAAGGCTGTTATACACTACTTTATCGCTATCCACATCAAAAAAATATTATGTGACCTCTTTCCAAGGATTAAGACATTCGAAAAATATACTGCATGAATATCACCAGAAATGTAAACGATAGAGAATTTGTTCAACCCATTCTAGAAGTTTCGTTACACACAGAGGTGAATACAGGAACATAACTATGCAAAACTGAATTGCACTGTCTGTGAGTAAATTCCATGAGTTCTAAACTAAAATATATCATATTTAAATAAAAATACATGAACAATCCTCATATAAACTGAAAGCCTGATAGCACTATATGTGTACATTTCAAATTTACAATTAATACTGTATAAGTAAAATTACACAAACTCGGCAATATCACATTCAGGTACGCTTTATTCTATAACGCATTTTAAACAAGTGAGCTTTTCTAAAATTACAAAAAATGATCTAGCACATTTATACACAAATTGCTAAAATATTATAATTATATGGTGCACGAAAACTAGAAGTTCTTCTTTCTTTGTTTTATTTGTTATACCTTATCGATTATAAATATTCAACGGTAGGAGTCTTAACGATTATAACTGTTAGAACTATTCCCTTAATACTATGATATAAGTCTTAACTGTTAAAACTATTCCCATATTACCACGGTACACGTTATAACAATTATAACTGTTACCGTAATACTGTGTCATGCGTCAGGAATATTATTTTTCAATAATTTCTAAGATATGCGTTGTAATGTTAAAACATATTTATTCCATAAATCTATTGTGTTCACCCTGGCGGTTATAAATGCTATAACTATGGTGCACGTAATGTTAAAGTTTTGTATTTCCCCCGCAATTCTATAGTACACATAACCTAATGGTTATAACTGTTGTTCTCCTCAAGTATCTCCAAGATTACGATTGTTCTTCCTATATAATTCTCGATGATACACGTAACCTAATAATTGTAGCGGTTTTTTTTCATAACATTGCATTACGTGTAACTATGTGGTTATAATTCTTCTTCCAACTATTATATGGTACTTGTAACCAATTAGTTGTAACTAGTCATCAATACATATATTTCTGTAATGTAAAAAAAACAGTTGAAGATGAAAAAGCAATAAACTTTTGAATTAGATTGACCATCGATTGTAGTTCTGTTTGATGATGTAGTCATTTATTAGAACATATAGATATGTAACAAGCATAACATTTATATGCACTGCAAATCACATTGCTGCATCATTAAAAGATGTGATTTGAGAATGGATGCACCAATCTAGGTACGTCTTTACTGAAAGTCACTTTTTTCACTTATAAATAAATCTCATCACTATTATTATGCTTTTACAATTTGAACTCTCTATTTTGCAGTGGCAAGAAAACAGAAAATGTTCGCTATACTCTTTTATACGACAATTTAATGATTGTTAAAGGATGTATTAGTTTGTATTAGAAAT